GGGGGGGGAAAAAAAAAAAAAAAAAAAAAAAGTCCCCAATAAAGTTTTGGTTCCACGGACTTTCCCCTTAGAATTATCTGATGATCTATACCTGCTTTAAGTGTAAAGGCAATTTACCAAGTATAAAGACAATCAAAGCCAGAGAGCAGAATGACTCCTGCCTCTGAAGTTTCCCTAAGAAGGGTTATTTCGTTTCTGCCCTCTCTCTTTCACATTCCTGCAAAATTACCAGCCAGAAATAGCCTACGGCCCCCTCCCCCCCAAAAAAAACATTGTTCCAGATTGTAATTACCAGTTAGGTTATATTTTAAGACTTAGCAATGAAAAAACTGTGAAAAGAGCAAAGTGTTACAGAAAACACAAATAGGAGTGATTTGGAATGGAAGCTCCTTTAAATTTCAAGAAAAAGCATGTAACTATTCAATTAACAAATTCCATAGGTAGCTCTATCAACCTGCAACAGTATTATATGGAAATATGGTGCTGGAAAAAGCATTTATAAAGATTTTTGTTTCCTTCCCACCTTTAGTCTGAAACATGGCTTTACCTAAGGAAAGTGCACTTCTCAGCATGCCTAAACCTTTTTGTGTTTATTTTTAATTTGTATGTTTATAGGTTTAGACTTCCCCCACGGAATTCTAGTGCTGTTAGCTTATCTGGTTTCACAAAGCTTCAAACTGGTGAAAAAAGATGAGAGTAATAATAATAATTAATTAATAATATAAAATGCTAATAATAATAATAAAAAGACTCGACCAGGAGCAATAATTTAAAATGCACATTTTGCTTTGGATGCACTGTTGTTCATATTAAAGCTGTAAATATTTGTTTATTTAAACAGACTGAAAAGTGCAAAATGGAGGTGAACAACATGCATTTCTTTTTTAAATGTACAAAACATTATATGCACTCGAAATGTTATAATTTCTAATATTTTTTAAAGTTTATATTTGAGTTGTACAGAGTTAAGCATTAATCAAATATTTCATTCTTCCTTAAAGATATCATTTCCTTAAAATATTATTACAAGATTTAAATTCTGTGTTAATAATGGAGATTTTTTTTTACTGTCTACCTCACTATAATACAAGTATTTACAACTCTAAAATTATTTGAGGTAAATTAATATTCAGAACATTTTTACAGTACACTTTTACTGGACGATACTACAACTATTACTGTATTATTAAACTTTTTTTTCAAAAAGTCAGCTTGCTTTTATATGTTCTATTATTTGGTTAAGTAATAACAAATTCCTCTCAAACATTGGCTGCAATTCTAAAATGATGTAGTGTTAAGTTCCAATAAACACCACTTAAAAATATAATATTCAAAGCCATTCTTCCTACTTGAAACCCTTCTGTATTCTCATAAAAGCTTTAGTTTGACCTTTAATATACATCGATGGTATAATTATGAGAGAAGCTACATTATGATTTTATATAACTTTAATGTAACTGGAAGAATGCATTACATTGAAAGATTCAGACGAACGTTTGTAAATATCATCTGTATTGGACACATTTCTATACACTGTATTATGATGAGAAGCATAAGTACTGGATGTTTTATAAATGATATTTATTTTTGATGCAATGGGTAAAATATTTATTAAATTTTTTTCCTGGTTATCTCTTAGATAATGAAGAGCTATTCACTGAGTAACTGTTTCAATAAGAGAAGAATTCCAATCTCTTATTATGACATGGTGTTCAGACAACAGCAGTAGCCCACTGTGCACTTGATATGATTCCTTTCAAAGAAAACTTAAATCTATATGCACAAGAGTTGAAAGAACTTCTCACCTTGTAGAAACTGTGAAATGTATTCGCAAACAAGGTTCTTTTCATGGAAGGAGGCATTTCTACCTGATCACAGGACCTACTCGACAGATTTTACTCAGGCTAATTTGCATTCATTTGGAAATGTGCTTGAATAAAAGATTGCAGGATCGGGCCTGTAGTTTTTGACACCAGCAGGGTAGAAGCCCAATAGAAGAGTCCTGCTGTAATATGCTTTAATCTCAAGAGAATATTAATGTTTAAACGTGTTTCCTGCTAATATTAGATTCAGAAATAGCATTGTTAATATGAAACTAGTTTCAAAACACAGTTCACTGGTTGTATATGGCAAGAGGTGTTCCTTCCCTTGTGAACTTTGATTGCTGCTCCGAGCTAAATTAGTACAGTTTTTTTTTAAGAGTGTTTTACTGTGGATCAGTCTTCTACTATAGGCTTGAGGGAAGGCAAAATGGAAAAAAAATCTATATCTTAAATGGATATAATAGAGTCTGTACCCAAAGAGGAGCAAGGAATAAGACACCATGAACTGGAAATGACCATTGTATGCAAACCTCAAATTCTACAAAAAGAGCACATTTCAGAAGTTTTTAAATGATGAGTTATTTCTCTTTCAATTGTTATTGTCTAACTAGCAAACAAAATAGCAGATGTACAGACAGTTATTGTTCCAACTGAAAAAATACAGTATACTTTTCAATGCTAATCTTCTTAACCTCTTTATTATAAGAAGGATTTTGCTTATAGTATTACCCTTTATATAATGTATTTAGGTGCAACTTTATTGTAAACAGGCATGCAACAGTTGTTGAAATGTCTCAGAAGTGACAGTATGGAGGCTGGTTAGAAGTAATAGAGTAATTATTTGGCACCTTATCACCCTGTCCTAACTCTCCTCCCCCCCCCACTGTTTCATTCTTTTTATGCATCTGCTTTGGATGCTATAGTTCATATGACATGTTCTGGGCAAATTTTGGCAAGTCCCTTATTGCCAATGAATAGTATTTCTGCTTATTTCCTTTTTTAGTTCTGCAGTGTCCCTTTTCTTTGTATGAAATTGAGAAGGCAATGAGAGGAGGTGCAAAAATCCAGCAAGGCTGACACATTTTCATTCTCCCCTCCTCTCCTTCTCAAAAACAAAACAAACAACAACAACAAAAAACAAAACAAAAAAACAAAAAAGTATTACCCAGTGAGCTGGACAGAGATTGTTGGTGGATGTTTTCTGGGCTCTTTAACATGAATCCTGAAAGCCCTTGGTACAGAGCAAATGAACCCTAATGTGATAATTGAATGGAAGTACATCTCTGAACGCAAAGGACTTTCTTTTCTATATTCAACTCCCCATGTTCAAAAACATAGTCAGAGGGAGACAATGATTTCTTTATTACATTTCTGGCCAGAAGAGGGAGCAGGATCTATTAGGCTGTGGAAACAGTTACTAGCACAACTCATCAAACACTAATTGTATAATAGCATTGTAAAAAATGAAACTCCTTTCATTCTTAGCTATGTACAGAGCATTTAAACCTGAGGTATTTGTATAATAAAAGTGTACAGAGGCTTAAACACGTGGATGATCACACTCTTAAACCTTGCAAAACACTTTCTTGCCTTACAAGGGATGTTTCTCATTTTAGATCCAGTTTTATCTCCCTCCCACACAGACCTGCTGGGAATTCATTTTTATTGTTGGAAGTGGTTTACATAAGAAAAGCTGAATCAAGATATTAAGCCTGTAGGCAATAGGCCCAATTTTTCTCTTCCTTACGCTTATACCAGTTAGGTATAAGATTATTGAAAGCAGTGGAATAGTTGTGTTTTACACTGACGTAACTGAGATCAGAACTAGGCCAAATGTTATTTAGGCTATCAAATTGACCACAGGTAGTGTGACATTTCACACTTATTATTATTATATTATTATTATTAATTATTATTTTGCCTCTCATTTTGTGTCTTAAAAGCCCATTTGAGGCCTCAGGCATCTGAGAGGTTTGTGTAACCTACATTTATGCTTGGCAATTAATGGTACAGAACTTAGGCAACAAAAAGTGGATTTCAATAAAGTCTAATTTATTTGATTACACATAGGCCCTGGTGCTGTAGTATATTCATAAGAAGATAAGCATGTTGTGTGGAATATACTCATTTATTGTAGGAGTCTCTCATTAATATTGTATTTCCAAATATCTGTGGTTCCTATTTCTTTATAATGTAAAAGCAATTATAAACACTAATACATTCAACTGTTCTTTTACTATGAGGGAGGAGATTTGGCACCACACCTCCCCCTCTCCTGCCTCCATCCTTGGCCTGTCTTTCATATGACAGAGGGAACAGCTGGTCTGCACCCTTCCCTGATCAATTTGATAGATTCATTTAAAATATGTCATTCTTTTAGCATACAATATTGCTAGGGTGATCAGATAGCAAGAGTGAAAAATAAGGAGACTTTATTTTCAGGGGTGGGAGTAGAGTTGCCCACATAAGACAAAGCCCCTAATATCAGGATGGTCCTGATAATATTGGGATGTCTGGTCACCCTAAATATTGCTTGAGTGTTGGAAATGGTTCTCCCAAGTACTTTAACTTGTATGACGAAAACACATTCCCTGGAAGCAGATCATCTAAAACAGTTTGGGGAGCTTTTATCCAGCTCAGCTTCCTAGACAGAGATTCTAAAAACTGTTTCCACACTTTTATTGGGCTAGCTACAGACTCCATGACCTCTGACCCTGTGTCATGAAAGGACCCTGAGGAGCATTTTCACCCTGCAAAACCAGTCTCTGAGCAGTTAATTAAGAATCCATCATTTTTTAGTCTCTGAGGAATTTCAGTATGCTTAATCTTATAGAAAAAATACTAAAACGAAAGAAGGGAGAGGAATGATTGTGGTTTAGGCTCTGGGTGGGAACTCAGGAAATTTGGTTTCTGTTCTCAGCTCTGGTTTCAATTTCCAGCTGTATGTGACCTTGGTCAAATCACATAGGGCTAGATTTTTAAAGTTCTTAAGGCACCTAAAGGTGCAGGTAGGCACCTAGTGACATTGATTGCAATGGGAGTTCAGTGCTGAGGTCTTTTGACAATCCCATAGGCACCTATTTGCATCATTAGGCCCTAAAGACCTTAAACTTTCCCAGTCTCAGTTCCCCATCTGTAAAATGGGGATAAC